TTTCAGAAGGTGAAGTTTATCCCTGATGGTTTTCAAAAGCCACACACTATCTCTGCTGGATCTTAGAAGAAGCTGCACATCTCTGGCAGGTCTTTAAAGGTATTGGTTATCTCTCCTGGGTTTCAGAAGGAATATGCTGATTATCATTGCTTGGGTTTCCACAGCCACTGCTATCTCAATTTAGCTGGCCCTGCCTATTTCTGCTGGATTTATGATGTTATTGGATATCTCTGCTGGGTTTCAGAATACTTCAGAAATTTATCATAGTAATGTGCTGTTCTGGTGTTGTTGGGGAGACTGCAGCTCACATGCCTTGTGGCCTTCTTCTCAGGGCTTCTTGGAGCATTGCACAATCCAGCAATGCAGAGAGTAAAAGCGAGCAGACCAACAGATAGAGGGTAAAGATCTTTTTCCTCTTCATCTGTCCCCGGATTTTGTTTCAAGATGAAGGGGAAAAAAAGTCTAACATGATTTTCAAACAGCACAGGAAAATCAAAATCCCCCCAAAAGGACTCTGTTAAAACCAGAAAGATTAAAAGAAAAAGAAGAAAACAAAGAAAACAGAGGGAAAAAACAAAACAAAAAAAGAGGCACATCAACGGACGGGGAAGGATCACTCAACAAACACGGATTCCACATCAGGAGCCAAAGAAAAGTACCTGGAATCCCCTTTGACCATAATAAGCCAGATTCTTGTCCGAAATCACGTCAATAACCGGCAAAAGCACCGAGTTCCTCTTCTCCTTGGCCCGCTGCAGCAGAGGTTCCATCCTACAACCCCCAAAGAAGAAGAAGAAAAATGATAACTCGACTAAAGTTCCAAGGAAATGAAAAACCTCTGGGAAAAGATGCTGAGGAGAGGAGCTACCATCCTCCCCTGGCACTTCGGGATTTCTGCATGGTGTTGGGTCGTCCAGCTGAACTTACAAACTAGGAAAGCTTGAGCTGAAAAAGGGCTGTGACATAAAGCCTGAAAGAAACATTAGTATACTACTATGAACACACAAATTCCATTCACAGAAAATGAATAAACAAAGACAAAGTCACAAATACAAATAAACTCTATAAAACATATAACAGCCACTAATACATACAACAGTAAATATTCACATACATTCCTTTACAATCACTATATCAAATCTGATGCAACATTATTCTTAACATCACCATTTTTTTTGCCTTGTTTGATATATTAATGAAAACTAATAAACTAGATGTTTTTTTTTTTCTTAAGCAGCAATATTATAAACAGCGACTGGGAAAAAAATGACCACTAAAGGTTAATCTTATTTATGAAATTTATGACTTTAAAAATAGATATGCACCTTAATCTATATTTTCTTAGTAAACTAATTTGGTCATTCAAGTACCATGGATAACAGGTGAAAAGAAAAGAATAAAAAAAAAATCCCTTAATTAAGAAAATGGGTAATCAAATTTATTGTAATACCCTGTATACCTACACAAATACAAATACAGACACAGACATACGGGTAGACACACACACACACACACACACACACACACACACACACACAAACACACACACACAAACAAACACACACACACACACACACACGCACGCCCCCAGCCCCGCCCACGCACCACTCCTCGTTGGCCTCGCAGTGAGAGTCGAGGAAGATGAGGACGTCCCCGGTGGCCGCCCGCGCGCCCGCCAGCCGCGCCCGAATCAGCCCGTGGCGCTCCCGCAGCCGCACCAGCCGCACCAGGGGGGGGAGGCGGTACTTCAGGTACAGGTCAAGCTTCTCGCCAAGTTCAGCTGCCGGGGGAAGGGGAGGGGTTAGAGGGGGGGCGTGGGGGGGGAGGTCGAGGGGGAAGGGGAGGGGTTAGGGGGGGGGGGGGGGCGTGGGGGGGAGGTCGAGGGGGAAGGGGAGGGGTTAGAGGGGGGGGGGCGTGGGGGGGAAGGGGGGGGGTTAGGGGGGGCGTGGGGGGAGGGGTTAGGGGGGGGGCGTGGGGGGGAGGTCGAGGGGGAAGGGGAGGGGTTAGGGGGGGGGGGGGGGCGAGGTCGAGGGGAAGGGGAGGGGTTAGAGGGGGGGGGGGCGTGGGGGGGGGGGGTCGAGGGGGGAAGGGGAGGGGATTCGGAGGTAAGGGGAGGGGGTAGGGGGAGGAAGAGGAAGGGGGGGAGCAAGGGGAGGGGGGGAAGGGAAGGAAGAGGGAGGGGGAGGGGGGGAAGGGGAAGTAGGAAGGGGGAGGAAGGGGAGGGGGGAAGGGTAAGGCAGAGGGAGGGGAGTCGAGGGTAAGGGGAGGGTGAAGGGAGAGGAAGGGGAGGGGTTAGAGGGGGGGGGGCGTGGGAGTAGAGTCGAGGGTAAGGGGAGGAAGGGGGAGGGTTAGTCAGGAAGTAATGTGTCCCTGGTTTAGGGTCTGTTCTTTTTTCTATCAATTTCCGCCATCAAAGGCACCTTTCTTGCAATTAATCATTAAAATCTCTTTTTTTCTTAACACTTTAACATTACTAATTAATAATATTCTAACATTGTCACTTAACATCATTTTAACATTTAACATTTAACATCTTATCACACTATCATTAGCACCATTTTCATCATAATTCACTATCATAAACACCATTACCCTTTTTATTATGCAAGAAGGTAATGATGATGTTCTTGATTATATAGTATCTATCAAACCCTATCATACTTATATATTTGTCTGTTTATCACTATCTCTATCTCTATCTAAATTATCAAGAAAGAGAGAGAGAGAGAGAGAGAGAGAGAGAGAGAGAGAGAGAGAGAGAGAGAGAGAGAGAGAGAGAGAGAGAGAGAAAGAAATAGAGAGAGAGAGAGAGAAAGAAAGAGAGAGAGAGAGAGAGAGAAAGAAAGAGAGAGAGAGAGAGAAAGAAAGAGAGAGAGAGAGAGAAAGAAATAGAGAGAGAGAGAAAGAAATATATATATATATATATATATATATATATATATATATATATATATATATATATATATATATATAGAGAGAGAGAGAGAGAGAGAGAGAGAGAGAGAGAGAGAGAGAGAGAGAGAAAGAAATAGAGAGAGAGAGAAAGAAATAGAGAGAGAGGAAGAAAGATAGAGAGAGGAAGAAAGATATATATAGAGAGAAAGATATATATAGAGAGAGAGATAAAGAGAATGACAGAGGGAGAGAGAAAGAGAAAGAGAAAGATAGAGAGAGAGGGAAAGAAAGATAGAGAGAGGAAGAAAGATATATAGAGAGAGAAAGATAGAGAGAGAGAAAGATAAAGACAAAGACAGAGAGAGAGAGAGAGATAAAGAGAAAGATAGAGAGAGAGATATAAAGAGAGAGAGATATAAAGAGAGAGTAAGAGAGAGAGAGAGAGAGAGAGAGAGAGAGAGAAAGAGAGAAAGAAAGAAAAAGAGAGAGAGAGAGGAAGAGGGGAGGAAGGGAGGGAGGGAGGGAGAGGGAGAAGCACCTGCTTGATGATCTCAGTCTCATTAAAATCCATGTTAATGAAGCCCTATTAATGGAGGATCAAAGATATTATTGTCAGCAGTTCCCCTTTCCCTTCCGTCTTTTTTTTCTTTCTTTCCTTCTCTCTTTATTTCTCTGTTTCTGCCTCCCTCTTTCTCTCCCTTTCTCTCATCCCCCTCTTTCTCTCTCTCTCCCACTCCCATTCCCTCTCTCCCAACACCACCCTCCCTCTCTTCCCCCACCCCCCTCCTCCCTTTCCTTCCCTTAACCCTCCCACGCACCCCTTCCTCCTCAAACCAATCTATCCCCCCCCCCACCCCATCCCTCTCCCCTCCCTTCCCCTCCACCCACCCCCGTCCTTCCCCCCTCCCTTTCCCCTTCCCCTTCCTCCCTACCCCATCCCTTCCCTCCTTCCCCCCTTTCCCCCTTCCCTTCCACCCACCCCCACCCCCCATTCCTCCTTTTCCTCCCAACCCCTCCACCCATCCCTCACCTCCTCCCCTTCCTCCTCCCTTCCCTTCTCCACCCATCCCTCACCCCCTCCCCTCCCTCCTCCCTTCCCTTCTCCACCCACCCACCTCGATCGGAGAAATCGTCGACGAGCACAATCTCCTTGAGGAACCTGGAGGGCGACCGCGTGAGCACCGACCAGATGGTGCGGATGAGGGGCGTCCAGGCCTCGTTCGTGAAGATGATGACGACGGAGGCGGAGGGAAGGTCGGCGTCGTAGCGGACCTCCCTGCATCTGCGGGGGAGAGAGAGAGAGAGAGGGGGGTAAATTGGGGGTTGGAAATTGGCGGGGGGGGGGGATTGAGGGAGGGAGGGAGGGAGAAAGGGAGGATAAATTGGAAATAGGTGGAGGAGAGAGAGAGAGAGAGAGAGAGAGAGAGAGAGAGAGAGAGAGAGAGAGAGAGAGAGAGAGAGAGAGAGAGAGAGAGAGAGAGAGAGAGAGAGACGAAGGGAGGGAGACGGAGAGGAAGGGTGAGAGGAGGGAGAGGAAGGGAGGAAGGGAGGGAGGGAGGGAGGGAGGAGGGAGGAAGGGAGGGAGGGAGGGAGGGAGAGAGAGAGAGAGAGAGAGGAGGATAAATTAGGGTTTGGAAACACTGGCACGTGAATAAAGACATCAAATAAATAAATATACATGAATATGAATAAATACATAAGTTACAGTACGAATTAATAAATATATATTTTTTATTATTATTGCTGATTCGTGGTTTTTGAAAAGAGCAGATGACATAAATGCACATACACATACACACGCACACACACACACAAAAATGAAAAGAAAATGGCAAAAAGTGATATTTCCATGACTAACATAAATTTTAATGACTAACATTACACCACATTTATGATCACATCCATAAATTCATTTTTTTTTTTCTATCAACATATACAAATACTTATGCGGGCGGGCGCACGTGTGTGTGTGTGTGTGTGTGTGTGTGTGTGTGTGTGTGTGTGTGTGTGTGTGTGTGTGTGTGTGTGTGTGTGTGTGTGTGTGTGTGTGTGTGTGTGTAAGTGCGCGCGCGCGTAGTAGTAGTAATAGTTGTTGTATCATCATCCTCATCTTCATCATCATCATCATCATCATCGTTATTATTATTATTCAAATTATTATTATTATCACTACTATTACTATTATCATTATCATCATTTTTAATATCATTACCATTATTATTAGTAGTGGTAGTGCGTGCGTATACGAATTTTGACAAAGGCACGCACAAACGTATTTTCCAAAATCAAAAGACAAAGCCAAACTGGGAAAATGGAATGGAAAAACACAAAAGAAAACTGAAGTCTGGTGGAAAAAAAATGAACATCGGTTTCCGTCGACCTCAAAACGGCTCCATTTTTCTTTCTTCTTCTAAATCGTGTTTTTTTCTTGTTCTTCATTTCTCTTTTGCTTTCTTTCTCTCTCTCATTATTTCTATTTAAGGCTTAACAAATCTGCATAATTATCTGTCCAATTATGGAGGCATTCAGAAAATAGGACACGTGACAAATAAGAGAACAAGTGAAAGGCAGGAAGAAGAAGAAGGAGGAGGAGAAGAAGAAGAAGAAGAAGAAGAAGAAGAAGAAGAAGAAGAAGAAGAAGAAGAAGAAGAAGAAGAAGAAGAAGAAGAAAAAAAAAAGAAAATAGAAAAAAGAAAAAAAGGAAAAGAAGGAAAAGAAAAAGCGCGCGAACATATTTCCGGTCAACCGCAAAATAACATAAAAAATAATAGAAAAAAAAAGAAAAGAAAATCACGAGGCCAAAAAATAACTTAAATGAGAGAGAGGAAAAAACGGGACAGACGATAGAGAAAGGGTAGGATGGAGGGAGAAGGGAGGGAAGAAGAACGGGTAGGAAGGAAGGAAGGAAGGAAGGAAGGAAGGAAGGAAGGAGGAAGGGAAGGAAAGAGATGAGAGGAGAAAAAAAGAGAAGAGAGAGAGAGTGAAGGAAATAAAAAGAGAAAAATAAAAGAATGGAAAAAAAAGAGAAGCAGAAAGAGAAAAAAATATCCAAACAAATAAACAAACAAACATACATAAACAAAACACCGAACCATACAGAAAAAAAAGAAAAAACAAAAACAAATAAAAACAAGGAAAGAAAATAAAAACCAAATGAGAACAAGCAAGAGAAGGCGAAGGTAAGCGAGAACTCCAGTTTTCCCGAACCCGCACGACCACTTTCGCCCTGCCGTAAGCCCGAACCCAGCGGCGAGGCGACCAAACAACAGGCCATTTGCATCTGTAACTCCGCGCTGTCTGGAGTGAAGTTGGGGTGGGGGGCGGGGTGAGGGGGTGGGGGGGGGAGATGAGAGGAGAGGGAGAAAGAGGAGAGGAAAAGGTGGGGGAGAGAGAGAGAGAGAGAGAGAGAGAGAGAGAGAGAGAGAGAGAGAGAGAGAGAGAGAGAGAGAGAGAGAGAGAGAGAGAGAGAGAGAGAGGGAAAGGGAGAGGAGAGAGGGTGGAAGGGAGAGAGAGAGAGAGAGAGGGAGGGAGGGAGGGAGAGAGAGAGGGGGGGAGAGAGGGAGAGGAGAGGAGAGAGGGAAGGAGGGAAGGAGGGAGGGAGGGAGGGAGGGAGAAAGGGAGAGGAGAGGGAGGGACGAAAATCAATCTAACCTCCAAACAGAAAAAGAAAAAAAAAGAAAAAGAAAAAACATAAATAAATCTGCTTCTTTCCACTCCCCACCATCGCTATTACCGCTAACATTACCACAATCATTAATCAACACCAACACCTGTTCCTACACCTGTGCGTTATGACCTATAGACATACGACAGTTAATAATTGCCTTATAGACGTCACTGAATAACTTTCAACAACCGGTCCATTTTCGTGCTTTTTTTAAAATCATAATCATCATTATCATTTTACATAAATATCTCTTAATTAGTAAATATATGTAGGTCTTCTCTCTTGTCTCAATATTCAAATGAACCTGTATCTTATTAATACTAATCAATGACCGTTTCCGCGCATCTGTCTCTCCAAAGTTGCACCTCAAAATCCATCGCTAAACAAAATTCAGATACGAAAATAGATACTTTAGAAAGAGATAAATGCCAAAAGAACCTACATATACGCAATATGGTTGATGACGTTGCTGATACTCTCATTATGATATCATTAGACACTATTATATTTCTTCTTCCTTGTATCACTGTCATTCTCAATATAATGCATGAAATAATCTATCTTTCATTACGTATATCACACTTCCCTGTAATTTAAAATCACTCTTACACTGCATTCAATTTAGACCCCCAAAAAAAATCACTTCGCAATCGACCTGGAAAACAACTGACGATCGACACGAAGCAACTGAAATAACTGTCATTACGGGCGTTCATAATAACGCTCGGAGAATCAACCAATCACACACACACACACACACACACACACACACACACACACACACACACACACACACACACACACACACACAAACATACATACATGCATACATACACACATACAGACGTGTGTGTGTGTGTCTACATATATATAATCTATCTATTCATTTATGCATTTTGAAAAAAAAATATATGACACATATGACGATGGTCATGACGGTGATGATGGCGATATTAAATAACGATGATGATAATGATGATGATAAAAATACCAATAACGATAAACAATCAGCAGTGACAACAAAAATTTAACGCCATCCTGAGGAAGACGACGGTGGAGGAGGAGGTGGAGGAGGAGGAGGTCGACCTTGAGGGAACGGTCAGGGTGCTAATGCGAAGGAGAAAGAGGCAAGCGTTGTTGATCAGGAGGAAGGGAGGAAGGAAGGAAGGAAGGAAATGGGGGAGAAGGAGGGAGGGAAATGGATGGATGGATGGATGGAGGGAGGGAGGGAGGGAGGGAGAGGGAGGGATATAAATGTAACATATGTTCTATCAACAAAGATACTGTATCCCTTAAGAAAGTCGGATGACGACCACAGTGGACTGTATTGTGAAGTGGTACTTATATACATTTCACAACACAGAGATTCGACAAATATGAATGGGAGGTCGTTTTGGAAATAAAGAGAGAGAGAGAGAGAGAGAGAGAGAGAGAGAGAGAGAGAGAGAGAGAGAGAGAGAGAGAGAGAGAGAGAGAGAGAGAGAGAGAGAGAGAGAGAGAGAGGAGAGAGAGAGAGGAGAGAGAGAGAGGAGAGAGAATATGAAAAAGATAGAGAAAAAGTAAACAAACAGACAGAAAAAAGCACAAGAGAAGAGAAAAAGAGAAAAGGAGAAAAAGAAACAGAAAGAAAGCGAGAAAATACAGACAAACAAAAAGAAATACACAGACTGATAAAAAAAAAAATCCACAACCTCACGGACTTGCAAGAAGCAATCGAGAGCGAGGGAACCGCATGCAACTTGCACAGTATGGCCTGCATTGCAATCTCCTGAGATCCCCAACACGATCAGGTGGAGGAGGAAGGGAATCTGGCACACAATTTTCACCTTCACTCCAAAGGGAAGGAGGGAGGGAGGGAGGGAGGGAGGGGAGAGGAGAGGGAGGAAAGGAGGGAGGGAGGGAGGGAGGGAGGGAGGGGAGAGGAGAGGGAGGAAAGGAGGGAGGGAGGGAGGGAGGGAGGGAGGAAGAGAGAGAGAGAGAGAGAGAGAGAGAGAGAGAGAGAGAGAGAGAGAGAGAGAGAGAGAGAGAGAGAGAGAGAGAGAGAGAGAGAGAGAGGGGGGGGGGGTTCTTACGCAACACGCGGCAAAATCTGGAGTGAACTTTCTACCCTCGCCCCGCCTTCCAGCCCTTTCTCCTCCCCCTTTCTCCTCCTCCCCCCTCCCCTTCACCTTCCCCCTCCCCCTCCCCCCTCCTCCTCTTCCTACTTCTCCTTCTCTTTCTTCTCCTTTTTCTATTTCTTCTTCTTCTTCTACGTTCTTCTTCTTCCTCTTGACCATTTTCTTTAAAACCATTTCGTCTTCCTGTTCTCTTCTTTCTCCCTTCGTTTCCCTCTTCTTTTTTTCATACTCTTCATCTCCCTTTTCTTTTCCCTTTTTTCGCTATCTTTTTTCATCTCTCTCTCCTTCCCTACCGCTTCCTCCTATTTTAGTTGATCTTCTCCTTCCCAATCTTCCTATCTTCTTATTCGTATCGCTCTCCCTTTCCCCTCTTCCCTCTTCCTTTTCTTCTCCTCCTCCTCTTCCTCCCCCGTTTACGCAGCCTAATAATCCCTTCCTCCTTCCTCCTTCCTCCTCTCTTATATCTTGTTTTAACAGCGTCGGCGCCTCTGTTTTCGCAAGGGGTAATAGAAATTGAGAATCTGTGTGTTTGTCTGTCTGTCGTTCTCCCCCCCCCCTCCCTACTTCGCTCCTCTCCTCTTTCCTTCCCTCCTTCCCTCCTTTCTTCGTTTCCTCCCTCCCTCTCCCCCAGCTCCTCCCTCCTTCGCTCCCTCCACCTCCTTCTCCCTTCTTCATTCACTTCCTCCCTCCTTCCTCCCTCTCCCCCACTCCTCCCTCTCCTCCTTCCACCTCCTTCTCCCTCCTCCCTCTTCCATCCATCCACCCACTCCCTCCCTCCCTCCTCCACCCACTCCACCTCATTCTCTCCCCACCCCCCCTTTTTTCACCTTCGATATCAGTCCGCATAATCTAAGAGGGAAAGGCGGAGACAGAATGACTAAGATGCATTGCAATTAAGAACAATGGATCGAGAACTGAATAAAAATAGGAACAATACGAGAAAAAAATAGAAAAAAAAGAGTGAAAAAAAAATCTTTTTTGGTATAAAGTGAAGGTAAACCATTTAAGTTTAAGTTTAGAAGGAGTGAGAGAGGGAGGGTGAATAAGAAAAAGGAGAGAGAGAGAGAGAGAGAGAGAGAGAGAGAGAGAGAGAGAGAGAGAGAGAGAGAGAGAGAGAGAGAGAGAGAGAGAGAGAGAGAGAGAGAGAGAGAGAGAGATAAGACGGTAGCGAAAGAGAAAGGGGGTGAAAGAGAGGAAAGGAAAGGGGATGACAAGCTAATTGTGATAAAAAGACAAATAAAGAAAGAGAAAAAACAAGATAATAAAGCTAAACAGAGATAGGTAGATAGACAGATAAATAGACAAATACAGAGAGGAAGAGAGAGTGAGAGGGAGAGAGAGAGAGAGAGAGAGAGAGAGAGAGAGAGAGAGAGAGAGAGAGAGAGAGAGAGAGAGAGAGAGAGAGAGAGAGAGAGAGAGAGAGACAGACTGAGCGAGAGAGGAAATACAGAACGGCTGACTCATAGCACATAGCATGCTGTCAGTACCAATCCGGTCATCTGATCTTGACAGCGTGACAGAATCCGGGAACAAAGACTTAAAACGAAGAAGAAGAAGAAGAAGAAGTAATAAATAAATAAAAGAAAAAAAAAACACAAGAGACATAACAGTAAAAACAACAATTGTGATAATCAGCATCGATAACGCCACAATTATAACTTTCAATAATAACAACAACTACAAGAAGAATAAATCTCAAAATCAACCTCACTCACTCATTTACTCATCCACTCACTCATCCTCTCTTTCCCTTATTAATAGTCTCCCTCATTCATTAAATTCTCTCAAATTATTCTGACGCTCGTAACACCTTTTTTCTTCCTCACTAAATTGCCCAATTTCGCATTCATCCACACATTATAATATCCCCACTCCCTTATTCAATCACTTATAATCACTCAAACTCTCACACTCACTCATCTACTCACTTTCTTATTAATAAACACCTCATTAATTCTCAATTTCTTACAAGCTAATATTTCCACTCGTCCATTTACTCAGTCACTCCCTCTTTCCCTCCCCCCTCTCTTCTCCCTCCCTCCTCTCTCTACTCTCCTCTCTCCCTCCCTCCCTTTCCTTCCCTCCCCCCCTCTCTCACTTTCCTCTCCCTCCTTATCCCCCTCCCCCATCCCTCAATCACTCACGGAGAGGCCCACATAACTGCGCCAGATTCACCCAACCGCTGCCATGAATAACAACTTAATAACAGAGCTCAAGAAAGTGGGTTGCGACACATGCACGGTCTCTGGGTCTCTGTCTGCCTGTCTGTCTGTGTGTGTGTCTGTCTCCCTGTCTGTCTGTTTGCCTGTCTGTCTGCTTGTCTGTCTCTATGTGTCTGTCTGTCTGTCTGCTTGTCTGCCTGTCTGTCTGCTTGTCTGCCTGTCTGTCTGCTTGTCTGTCTGCCTGCCTGTCTGTCTGTTTGTCTGTCTTTCTGCCTGTCTGTCTCAAGTATCCAAAGAGGTATGTAATACGTTTTTCCCCTCCTCCTCTCCCCTCTCCCCCTGTCTCTCTCTCTTTCTCTCTCCCCCCTCTCCCTCTCTCCCTCCATCCCTCTCTCTCTCTCTCCCTCTCCCTTTCCTCCATCCCTTTCCCTCTCTCCCAACATCCTTCTCCCTCTCCCCCTCTTCATCTTCCTCCCCCCCCTCTCCCCCTCCCCTTCACCCTCCCTCCCTCCCTCCCACCCCTTTGTTAGTGTGATATAACAATATTTTTTGTTACCAGCGCTCTTGTAAGTCAATGACGTTAACACTTCTAAGAAATTTGCACAGGAGAGTCGGGAGGGGGGGAGGGGGAGGGGAGGTAAAGGGCGTGGGTTAGAAGGTGATGAAGAAGGGAGGAGGAGGAGGAGGAGAGGGGGAAGAGAGATAATAGAGAGGCAGATGAACGCAGAAAGGAGAGAGGGAAGGAGGCAGGGAGGGAGAGAGGGAGAGAGGGAGAGAGGGAGAGAGGGAGAGAGGGAGAGAGGCAGGGAGGGAGAGAGGGAGAGAGGGAGAGAGAGAGGGAGGTAAATGAAGGAGAGGAAGAGAATACAAAACAAACATACAAAAAAACAACAACATCAAAATGAAACAACATCCCCATAAACACCCACTCCACCCCAACCCCCTCAAAAAAAAATCTATCAACAAGACCAAATTACCAGCCCCTCCCACCCACCCACACACCCACACACACACAAAAATAACCAAACCCCAATCAAAGTACCGGTACTCTATCTGTCGCAATTAAGTGATTGAAAGTGCAATTAAAGGCGCGACAAAGTGAGATAACGACCCTCCCTCGCCCGGCTGTTTCCCAGTGACAAACGCTGGAATGATAATAATTACTAGCGTCTCTCTTCCATTGCCGTGGGTGCCGGGGTCCCGCTGGAAGTGAATTTCGGAGAGGGAGGGAGAGGGTGGGTGGGTGGGGAGGGAGGGAGGGAGGGAGGTAGAGGGTGGGTAGGGAGGGAGAGGTTGGGAGGGAGGGAAGGAGGGAGGGAGGGAAGGAAAGGTAGGGAGAAAGTGGGAGAGAGGGATAGAAAGGGGGGGAGGGAGGGAGGGAGAGAGAGATGAAGAGAGATAGAGAGAAACAGAGACGTAGACATAGAGAAAGACAATAAGAAAGAAAGAGAAAAATCGCCAAACGAGTGAGCGAGAGTGAGAGCGGGAAAGACAAAAAAACAAACACTATTTTCCTTTCAGTTACCCCGTAATTTCCAGCGTCTAAATTTCTCTCATTTTGCAATTATGCGAAAACAAATTTCGTACCTTGCTCGGAATGCGGGGAAGAAGTGATGGGAAAGTGACAGATGAACAAACCACGGCAGATTGAGAGGAACATAAACTCAAAACTAGGTCGTATGATAGACAATATGTTTGTTCTTTTACATTCCGAAGTTTTCCTCTCTCTCTCTCTCTCTCTCTCTTCCTTTCCAGTGTATGTGTGACTGAGTTATATATATATATATATATATATATATATATATATATATATATATATATATAGAGAGAGAGAGAGAGAGAGAGAGAGAGAGAGAGAGAGAGAGGCCCACTCTGCTTCCTTATCCAACAGAGGTAGACACAGGGAGAACCGCTACCGCGTCATAAAGCAATAACATCAACAACCCCCTCCCCCCTTCTTCTCACTCTCCCAATACCAACTTTCGAACAGCCCTAACAAAAAAAAAAAAAAAGAAAAAAAGAAAAAATTTATATATCACCTAAGCCAATACCCCATTCCCCCCTCCTCTCCTCACCTCCCCCTAACACCCCCCTTCCCTTCCCCTTCCTCCCCCCCCCAACCCATGACAAGAGCACAAAACCCCACCATTTTTCTCCCGGGCACCTGCTGAACCACCTGCCAACCCCCTCCCCCCCCCCTCCTCTCCCCTGACGCTAAAATAGATCAGCCAATCATCCCCCTAATGATTGGGGGGGGGGAGAGGTAATTACCTGGCAAAGCGAAAGCGGCATTACCTGTGGAAAATACGTAACGAGGAAAATCATCTCGAACAGGCAGTCGAGTCGCTTCGAACGATCGAAACGCTTCCCCGGCGGCAATTTCCGGCAGCCCAAATGGTCTCTTGAAAAGCCTATGGAACTATCAAAAGCCTGTTTCTCAGACAATCAAAATAATTGCAAATTGCAAATCCCATTTTCACAAAAGCGCATCAATTCCCAGAAGCGTTTCCTCACGACAAAACTGTAATGAACCCAGCGATCTTCCAGAAGCGAGTTCCGGCCTCTTAATCTACGCGTCTACTCGATCATCTGCGTTCTCCTTTCCTCGTTCATCTACCGGCCTCATCTACTCGTTCCTCTACCGATCTCCTCTCGTTCCTCTACGCTCTCATCGCCTCGTTCATCTAACGATCTCATCTCCTCGTTCCTCTACGCTCTCATCTTCTCGTTTATCTACCAGCCTCATCTACTCGGTCCTCTACCGGTCTCATCTCGTTCGCCTCATCTCCTCGTTCATCTACCGGTCTGATCTACTCGTTCTTCGACCCACATCATCTACCTCATCTACTGTCGGGCAGGGCGAGGGGGCCGACCAGTCCGCCTCGCGCTCGGAAGGGAAAGTGAGGCGCGACCCCCGCTGGGAGGCCGAAGGGCGCCGTTGCAAGACACGAGACCGCCGGCCCTACGTAGGCCTTTCTCTCGCTTCGTTTCTCTGTTATTTGTTACTTCGGTTCCTCTCCTTTTCGCCTTCTTTCAATTTCTACTTTATCTCTCTTTCTTTCTCTTTCTTTCTTTTTTTCTCTCTCTCTCCCTCTCCCTCTTACACTTACATACATATGGATATACACATACACATATGCATATGCACACAGACACACACCAGCACATAACACCCACCACCTCCCTCTAAGCACACAGAAACGCACCCACCCACCCACCCTCCCACTTACCCACCCACCTACCCCCTCACCATACCACCCACCCGCCCGCCCGCCCATCCACTCACCTACCTACCTACCCACCCACCCCTTCCACCGCCCACCCGCCCGCACGCGCCCATAAACACGAGCACAAAGCCGCCACTCAGCGAAGGCAAGGCGGGGGAAAACGCGGCTTTAGAAAAGTGCCCGGGAAAGCCAAGGCATGGGGGGGGGGGCACTTAATGAGGAGGGGGAGGAGGAGGAGAGAGAGATAAGGAGAAGAGAGGAGGAGGAGGAGGAGGAGGAGGAGGAGGAGGAGGAGGAGGAGGCGGAGGAGGTGGAGGAGGTGAAGGAGAGAGAGATGTGAAGGGGGGAGATAGATGAAAGGAAGGAGATGGAGAGAAGGAGAAAGAGATGAGGAGAAGGAAGGAGAGTGAAAGAGAGAGAGAGAGAGAGAGAGAGAGAGAGAGAGAGAGAGAGAGAGAGAGAGAATGGCGACCACAGACGCAATAAAGAGGAAGAACGAAAGACATAATTACTTACGAAGATGGATTGCAAAAGGGAGATGGCAAGGAGGATATAAACAAAAAGAGGAAGAGAGATGGGAAAAAAGAGACAAAAAGATGGAGGAAGAGGCAAAGAAAGAGCAGAACAATGAAAAAGAATAAAAGAAGAGAAAGTGTAAATACAGTAAGAGAAAGGTAAAAAGAGGGAGAAAAGGGAAAGGAAGAAGAATAAAGGAAGGGAGAATAAAAGAGGAAAGGAATAAAAAGAGGAAGAGAGAGGTAAAATGAGGAAGAAAGAGGAAAAGAAGCAGTAAAAACAGGAAGAGAAGAAAGTGAAACATACATACAACACCAGACATTCACTACACACACACACACACACACACACACACACACACACACACACACACACACACACACACACACACACACACTCACACTCACACACACACACACACAGAAAGCCAAACGTAAGAGTCTTCGTTATCTCCTACGCAAACCCCGCAAAGACAAAATCCGTTCTTATTTACTCCATTACAAGAAAGATGAATTTCTTAAGAGTATTTATCCCCCTGTGAACTTGATAAAAGAAGAAGAGGAAACAAAATTGAGTGGGAGAACTTGAGTGGTGATGGTGCGTGATGCCGGTGTTGTTGTTGTTACTGTTGTTGTTGTTGTTGCCGTTGTTGACGTTTTTACTGTTGTTGTTGTTGTTGCTGTTACTGTTGTTGTGGTGGTGGTTATTGTTGTCATTGTTGTTGATGTTGCTGTTGATGGCAGTAATAGCAAATGATGACGACGAAAAAAAAAAACACTAACAAACCAACAGCAAACAACCAAAAATTCCCCACAAACAAAGAAAGTCCTATACCCCCACCACCACCCATCCCCGCGCTCCCCACCCAGTGAGTCGCCAAAAACATCGAGAAAAAGCTTTGTCGTAAATCACGCAAACACGGGCCTATGGTGGTTGTTCATTCTCTTTCTTTCTTTCTTTCTTTCTTCATTTTTATCATCAACATCACCATTTTTTTTCTTTCTTTTTTTTACGGGCGTTGATCGTGTGTGAATTGGCGCGAAACTCTCCCCCCGTTCCAGCGTTCCTGTGTTCAGGCTGTTCCGTTATCGTTGAGTGTTCTATCGTTCCATTTCTGGTTCTCGTTGTTTGCGTCCAACGTTCAGTTATCACGTTCTCGCAGTTTACTTATCCGTCCAAATCCCGATTTCCGTTGTTCTGTCCTTACATAACACTGGCATTCTGTTCCGTTCCTCTTCCCCGCTGTTCATTTT